TTTTCTTACCCTTTCAGTTACCCTAATTCATATATATCTGTCATTGTCTCCATTTTCGTCTTTATCTTCACTTTTGCCTTTTTTTACCTTCCTTTTATTAACTCGGGATGTAACTATGTAATATTGATGCGCCTAAAAGATGCAGCGATTTATATTCCCAAGTTACATACCGGATGACAGTACGAATGGCAATTATAATAGGGAGGTTTTAGTTTTTAAACTATATTATTTACTTTATCATTATAATTTATTTCTTCATCTTCCTATTTATCTTTATTTCAAAGCTTAATTTCAAATACGAAGTGAAGCAACATACGAAACATGTCAAATGGAACATGTTGCAGCAACATATATACAAATACGGAAATGTTTAAACGACGGCTGTGGCCGCAATTTTCAATCAATTTTGAAACCATAAAAACTCTGCTCATCTACAGAAAAATGTCTTTCCAATGGTGTTCTTGGTTCGGTAGAATCACCAAACGAACGGAGACAAAATTCATGTTAGCGTATTAATATATAGATGCCTAGATAAGTACATACTTATTTATATTAAATTGAAATCAGAGAATGTCTTAAAAGGTTAAAATTAATTAAAATGTTTATAAACCAGCGTACATATGTATGTATTTAGGTATTTAGATTTTCTTTAAAATCGGTATGTACATACATGCATATTTAATTAAGCTTAAAATTGTACTTCCTCACTCTTGTACGTCACTTCATTGACTGTCTTCAACTTCGCTGCAAATTGAACAAAGCAAAACATGATTTTTATGCGAGACAAATTTCCACAGAAAGTAACGGTAGAAAAAGAATTTTTGGATATTCATTCCATTTTTTTTTTTCCCCCCCGAAATGAAGCAAAGAAGCGAAACAAATAAAATATTGTAGGACATTCTACTTTGCATTCCCGGAAATGAAGCAAAGAAACGAATTAAAAAGGAAATATTACAGGACATTCTACTTTGCATTCCCCGAAATGAAACAAAGAAGCGAAATAAATAAAATATTGTAGGACATCATACTTTGCAATACTAGCAATGCCTAAAAGAAGCGAAAAAATTCGAAGGCATTATAACGCTATGCCTTCTAGAACACGTTACCACTAAAAGCGATTACCGATTTTTGCTCGGTAAGAAACTATGTACCAACTTTGGAAAACATTGTATTAGCAAAGCACACTTGTTTGATAATATAAAGCAGCTTCAAAAATTACTTCCAAAAATGGTAATGTCACAGTCTGCTGTTCAAACGTTCATAACTCCTAAACAACAGAAGTTACAATATATTTAAGTATGTATTAAATAATGCCACATACTTATGCTTTAAGATGCAAGAAAAAAAATATCAAAAAATTGTATTCTAGCGAGTTTCAGCGGTTTTTGAAAAGCAGTTTCAGCCAAAATGTAATGTAACAGTCCGCGTTTTGGGCCATATGTGGATAATTTAGCAGGTCAATTGTTCTCCAGCTTTGGATGAAATGGAGAAAGATTTTCTCTGTACTCGTTAATGTGTTGCCGAACCAGTGTTGCCAAACATGGGCTTTTCCTACCAAAACTGGTAGGTTTTATTCCATTTGGTAGGTTGGTAGGCTCGATTGGATTTTGGTAGGTTTCGGGACAATGAGTAATAGTTATTTGCGAAAAATGGAAAATATACACGTATCTCCAAATATTTTAGCAACCTTTTTTACACAAATATTTCACCGGTGCGTTCGTATAATGGCGGCCACAAATATGTAAATATACCTGATTCCTAAGTACAAACGTATACCTTATTATTGCCAATATGCAATACGGACATCCATATATCGTGACCTAAGAGTGAAAAGGTGCCAAGTCCATTTTTAGAAATTTTTCACGAGAGACGAAAAATCGATGTGGTTTCGTATTACCTGTCATTCTGAATCAAAAACTAAACTTTGAAAAAAAAAATGGACTTGGCACCTTTTCACCTTTAGGTAGCGATATAATATATTATACTCAACCATATTTCAGGCGGAAGTCTTTCAAATCGAAGTCTGTGTTCGCGAATGTCATCGTAGAAGGCAAATGAGGGCAGAATAAATATTATGTCGGACATTCAGGCAGCGCTAAAGGCCTTAGAGCCTTTTAAAACGGCATCAAGGCTTGTAAACTCTTGAACCACCTGCGAGCCCCCAATAGCGTCACGCATGAAGGGTTTGAAGGCAACGAAAGGGCTGACTGTCTCGCAAAGCGTGAAGCCCAAATGCGTTTGCATGGTCCTTAGCCTTTCTGCGGTACATCTAAAGAATACACTGCAGACCTACTTAGGAGCTAGCTGGGAATAATCTCAAATTGCTGCCTACTGGCGGAAGTCAAAGGGAATAAGACAATCAAAGATATGCATAACTCGTTCCAGCAGGAACTCCGAAAGACACCTTGAACTTAGAACTCTTACTGGCAACCTGACAGCACACTGCAAGTTAACGTACGGTTTTAATTAAATGGGTCTTTCTGTAGAGACGGACGGTAGGGTTTGTCGGCTGGGGAAAGAAACCCCAGAGTATATTCTATGTGCCTGTCCACGAAGCATGAATCGTACATTGATACACCTTGGAGAACGATTGCCTTCTCCATTTAAAATTTGGAACATGGCCTTATCCAAAGTGCTGAGCTTTTTAAATAGCCTAAGGTTACAATTTTGATTTAGCACAATATATCTTCTTACGTCGCAGCGCGGGTATCTTCGATGTAATAATAATAATATCGTCACTAGACTCGAATAAAGAGCTCGGAAAAACTCATTGCGAGTTCTGGGGAATACTGTTGCACTCGAAAATATAGTTGACCGCGGACATAAGTTTATAGGTAAGAAAAAAAAATTGTCTGTGGCAACGCTGTGCAAAACCAAATTTAAAACAAAACCTACGAGCATTAAGGATAGACTCGTAAAAAGTTTATATTAAAGGCAATCCCGAATGAAGATATATGTATTAGGCTGGGTCGATTTTGTATGGGGGAAAATAAAAGGAATTTGATCGTATTGTAATAGTAATATTATGATGTCTTAGATCTAAGCCAATTGTTATTGGCCACGAAAGATTAATTTAAAACTTATATTTAGCCCGAGCAATTGAATCAAAGTCTTTGAATTTCGAAAATGAAACTTTGGCTTGTAATATCTATGGAATGCGTTAATTGTTATAAACAGGATGATATATCAAATTAAGGGCTATTAAATTTACTACCTCACGTCCATTTATCATTTTTCAATAAGTCTACAAGTTTTTAAAATATTAAGATAAAACTTAAAAAAGTATAATTTTCCCTTATGAATTTTCAATTCTTCATTACTTGAGCAACCAAGTAAAAAATACGAAAAAGTGACACGACATTTATTTCAAACGTTTCAAAGTTTTCGGATGTTTATATAATCTTAAAAGGACCATGGACCTGGTCACGCAGATTTGGTCAGTTTTCAAGATTGTCCTGAATGTAGTCAAACATTTATTGTCCAAGGTTAGAAATCGGTTGATAAGTTAATAGTAGTTTCAAGCACATTAGTATTTACATACATTAACATAATACAATTAGGGTAAGAAATTCCCATTTTAAGTCCATTTATGCCGTCTTGAAATGCATAAGCGGAATGGTTTCATTAGTCCCCGAAGAAGCACATTTTTGCGGTTTCTAAATTTGCCGTTAAATGCAAGTAGGGGACGTGCAATAAGTGTTTAGATATAAATATTTTAGTTAATTCCATTATGTGAAAAAGTGAGTGTAGGTAAATACCATAATTCTTAACATATCCCGGGAAATCCTTTTGGGGACTCTCCAATTGGACGATATTGCATTGCATTCAGCTTGAACGAAAAAAGTCACCCCTTGGCACACTTTTCTGTAATCCGGTTCTTACAAGTTATTTATACAAATGAAGAGATTTTTTTTAGAAAAAAACTGGAGATCCACTTAAGTTTTTCGATATAACTTTGGTAAATATTACTCGATCAGTACGTAATAATTACCAAATTGAAGGCGAGACTTATCGTTACTGATTTATGGTAATAATATGATGAAAATCGTTCAGATTATAAACAAATTATTTTAAAATAAAAAAATTTTAAACAAATTTTTTTGTCATTTTCCTATATTTGCAATTTTTATATTGTATGCATAAACATAAGTGAACTAATTAGTGTTTCTAGAAGTTGTGCCTTTTTAGTGTTTCCATACTCATTAGCATAAACAAAATTTTCCCACGATGATGGAAAATAATGGCTTTTCTATTCGAGCTACCGAAATTGTTCCTAAATTTGCAGAAATTCGCAAACTATAGCTAATATTAAAAAAAGATTAGACTATTTGGAACCAGCGACCTAAATGCACGCGAGCAATATTAATGATGTTCTTTATATCTTGTGACTATAGGCCAGTGGAATTATCAAGAGAACAATTCAAACTTTATTGAAAAAATATAAATTTGAGATTAACGATAAGCTAAAGTTCTGCGAGAAATGATATTTGACTTTATCTTTTGCGTTAACGGATTCATTATCTAGTAATATGCACCAAACCTTTTTGCTGAACCAGAATTTTCAACAAAAATTGATCTTACTCTACTAGTGTGCTGTGGGTCACTTGGCAGTCGATGCGCGGGCTCTTACAATTAAAATAAAAGACTAATATTTTGCAGGCTTGTTGTTGATTTCATGATACAATATATTTTCGCTATTACCAAGGGATTTGAGAAAAATTTGACTTTCGACCCGCCCTAATATGTATGTATGTATTTACTTGCTATTTGTGTAGTTTCAAAAATAGTCGGAAATCCTTTTTAATAAATTGTTTCCCGTTAAGTTTGTCCTAACTCCACAAAAATATAAACTGCGCAGTGTCCACGGTCGTTCCTCGGTTAGGCTACAAAAAATGTTACGTAACATATACATAGCTCCAACAACTGGAAAAAACTGATATCGTGGGAATAGAAATATTAACCGAGTGAGACGTTCAACCAAAGGAAGTCATGAAATCTTGCAGAGAAAACATAACAAATGTCAACATCACTTAAGTATCAACTCACCTGATTTGTCATGGCCACGAATATTGAACACAAAAATAAATATGAAATCCAGCCAAAATCTTGTTGAATGTCTTGATGTGATTTAGTATTAAAGCTGTATGCTAAAAATCCCAATATGGGTATGCTAACCATGAAGTTATCGCCATTGGTTTCGATGAAATCATGTCGTGTTATAGATGTTGGATCCAGATGATGTTCACGAAAAGGCCGCAAAAAGTTCTATGGTAAAGGAAGCAAAATCAGCACATATAAACACAAAAACGAGGGCGACATCGTATCGAATTCGAGACGAACTCGAGAAAACGAATTTCTCGAATATATTTATTGAGTTGAAATTTCAAGTGGCTAACGATTCGAAACATCAACAATTTTCGAAACGCCAACGATTCGAAAAAAAATTCTCGAATCACCCACAAGTCGAAAAATAATAGGGAATTTACATGAGGCGATTTTTCAGGCGATTTTTAGTTGAATGCAACAATCGCCTAGTGTAAATGGCCTTTCAACTTATCGCTTCCAATGAAGTTGGTCGGCTGCCTACTTTCGTTCAACTTTTGGTTCAACTAATCGCCTATGAAAGTTGAATCATGTAAATTCCCTATTAGTAATACTAGTTTCGCTAATGATAGATGACTCTCCTACGAATTCGAATTCGCCGATCTATTGTCGCGAAGTATAGTCTCGATGGTTCTATCAGAAAAAACGAGCTCGTCTCGAATTCGAAGCAAACTCGTTGTTTTTATTGGCTATGTATGTATATATGTCATTAGCGCACACAAGGGGTGGGTTTTGGGGTTTAAAGCCCTCCTAAAGCTAATAACGTCAAATGCAAACTGTATCTTAAAGCTTAGAATCCAGCTCTCAAGAGAAATCACAAAAAATATTTTATTTCTATTTATTATTTCTGTTGTTTGAAAAAGCGCTTTGCTTTTGCTATAAAATTTCTTGAAGAAATAAACATACGAGCATTTTTTTAGAGCTGCAAAATAAGTCGAATTTATATAAGATAGGTTTGCTATAACAGCAGATTTGATTCGCCTCGGTACCCATGTGCCAAAATTTCTTATGAGTGGGTGAAAAAGTGAATGTTGAAATTTTCTTTCCCTCTTCTTCCTTGCGCGAATCAATGCTGAGATTTGACATTTGTGTACCGAAAGTAAAAACAAAATACACGTGAGTCTTTGTTTTTGTACTACCGCTACCACGTTATATGAATAGGGACACGAATTTCGATACAATACGATACCATATCGATACTTTTTGCATTCGATACCGATATTTTATACTCGATAGTTTTAAAACGATATTTTTTGGAATCGATTACGGTGACAGGTAATAAGGTCAATGGAAATAAGGTCAATTGACTTTATTTCCCACCCTGGTGCGAAATAAAGTCAATTGACATTATTACCTTTTCAAAAGCGAAATAAAGTCAAACAAAATTTGGAAATAAAGTCATTGACGCTATTTCCTCATTCAAATGGAAATAGCGTCAACAATGCTTAAAGTATGTCGATTCATAGAAAAAAATGTTCTTACAATAAACATTGCCCCGTAAGTGTTGTTTTTTAATAGATGAAAAAGGCTTTTGCCAAATCCTCATTGTTGTGATAGTAATCCACACACAATCATGAACTACCACCAATTGATTCTATTAAAAAAAGAATTTAAATTACGAATATGTAAAAACACGATGCGAAAAACTAAACGCCTGCGCACAGCTGGTATACGGGAAATATTTGAAGAAAGATTGGAGAAATGATCCATAACTTGCAAAACATTTTTCGTTTCTACAAAAATAAAGCGAACACTATTAAATTGAAGAAACAGTACATGTCCTTGGTTATGAGGTGCCATATTGAGGATAAAAAAATGCCAAAATGTGACAAATAGAAAAATAAAAGTGCCAAAAAAGGTGTAATTCCTTTTAATCATTCACATTTAGCAATAAAATAAAGCCACATTTTCAAAACAAAAGTGCAATGATAAAATAAGATAAACCAGTCGAATAGCCTTTATAAATTAGAAAATTTTAGTTGAGAAAAAGAAGTGCACGCAAAGTGCCATTTTGGCATTTTGTGCCAAATTGATAAATTAAGTGCCATTTGAATTAAAATAGGAACAAATGGCACGGTTTGAGCCAAGTTGGCATCCTTGCTTCCAATAACTTACAAATATAAAAATGTGAAATATCGAGGGCTTGAATTCATTAATACCCTCTATCTGCAATTTGCACAAAAACTAATTTGTGATTTTAGAAACCATCTGGGACTTATTACCTGTCGTTATATAAGGTAGCATTAATATCACTGATGACAGTTAAAGCTTAGGTGGATTTTTATATCAGAATCTCATCTTTGTGAAAAGTGTGCAGATAGGGGGTATTATTGAATATAAGCCCTCGATGTTTAAAATATATAAACATTTTATTTCAACGTATACAAAAAATAAATCTACCTGCGTTACAGCACGTTGGGAGACGGGGAAGGGGGGGGCCGGGGGGCCGCGGCGTAGCGTGACGTGGTGTGCGCGCCGGGTGCGTGGGGCGCGAGCGCGACGCGCGCGGTGTGGCGCGCTGACGCGGGCCGCCGCTAAGCTAAGAAAATTTAATGTTTGAAAGAGAAATAATGTCAATTGATTTTATTTCGTTTTTAAAAAGGTAATAATGTCAATTGACTTTATTTCGCACCAGGGAGGGAAATAAAGTCAATTGACCTGATTTCCGTTGATCTTATTACCTGTCACTATCGATTACCAGAACCCTAGTATTGTATCGAATGTCATAAGCACACATTCCAACACTGAGGGAAAAAATTTTAAAATTAAAAAAACGTGTTAAATTGAAAAAAATACGCATATGAAAGAGCACCAACCCAACTCGTTTTAAATTGGAGTATATACGTTATAAAATATGTGGTTGCGAAGTGCACAGATGCTTTTTCGTAATTAAGAGAAGAAAAAAAATTAATTTTATGTTTCGTCTGATGGGAATTGAACCCGGACCCTATTGGCCGCAACTAATTGTATCAAGCGTCTTTGCACACTCAGCTCAGCCATACATGTAAAGGTGTTTTCAAATATTGAGTTTGAATCAACTACACAGCACGCGATTAGTACATTATGTCATACCATGTATGTGTTGTCACCGCTGTGCATGCTTTGTATACATATACCTTCTTAATTAAATATGAAAAAGCATCCGAGACGTGCAAAACGCCATCCGTGTAGTGAAAAATGCTTCATTTTACTACGGGAGTATTTGAATTGAATATTTCCATTATATGTACGTAGTGTATGTATAATGGAAAAATCCAATTGGTTAAGACTTTTCACTTGATTTAAATACGAACATTTTTAAATGGTAATTAACGGCGCTTACACAATATGTTAGTGTTTGGCCGGACTTCTCCTCCGATTTGTCGCGTGGGCCTTAATGTTGTGGCACAAAGAGGGTGCCTACAGTTTTATGTCGACTCTGAACGGCGATTGTATTTTATGGGAAGCTGTTTTTCATTTTCAACGTTGCGTACTTCTAACCACTACACCCCAGCGGCCTATATGCGAAACCTATATTCAGATAAATTTTTTGGATTTTGGTATCGATATTTGGAATATCGAGTCTTTTTATTCCGATATTAATGGGTACCCGATATTTTTAAAGCGATACTTTCGGTTCGATATCGTGACCCTATATATGAATTCGCCTTGCTGCAAACTGATTCAATAAATTTTGATAGAAGAACAATTTTTTTCCATTTCTTGTGCGTCATTTTATATAAATTTTTCGTTTTTCTAGAAGGCGCTTAAAAGTTTAACTGCGATTGAAAATATTGTCCTAAAAATATGCAATGCATATCCACTTACTGTTGTTTTTCACACTTTACAGCCTAAAAGAGTTTACCACTGATATGTACTTAGCAAGGATTCGAAAATGTAATTTGCCAACTTCGACTTTGTTCCACCAAAATGAACTACATAATAAAAATAGAAGCTCAGTCAATTTTTTCGGTATTCGAAATATTAAAAAAATGAGGAAATCGTGAAAAATCACCATCTCTATCGAAAACCAGAAGGCAGAATTCGAAGAAAATGAAAATAAAAGTGTAAAAATTTCATGGAATTAATCATGATAAAAACATTACAAGGTAAAATCATTGAGAGGCAGTCTGACGTTTTCCAGCAATATAATTTTAAAATTCGAACTCAAGCTCAAGGTGTGATTGACAACTCAGGTAGGCTCTCTTTTAAGGTACTATTATGCCAAAAAATATAAACAATCGATTCAAAATTCATACAAATTTTTTTCAATTTGACTATAGCATGGTTCTTCTGAGAGCAGTGTCAAATTCAATCACACTTTGTTGAACACATTTTGCTCAAGCTCACATACACATTCTCATTTTTAATCTCAAACAACAACAATCGTGAACAATTTCATTTTTTTTATTTTCAATTTTATATGATTTTAAAATGTTTGAAAACGTCAGAAAAAAATCATGGTTTGAGAGAATGATTTTACCTTCTAGTGTTTTTATGATGGAATTAATTAAGTTTTATTAAAATTCTTTTTTAAATTTCTTTATTACTTTTGAAAGTTGAGTGCATCTTGTGTTTTATCAAACAAGTAAGCACCGTCAATTTCTTCACGACCCTTGAGGTACCATCTTACTGTTAAAAAAAAGACAGCTGCATGATTGTAGTGGTTGGCATTTACCCTGCAATAATCGTTGGACCATGTAGTCTATTTGTGGTATATTTGAGTACTTACAAAAGTGTTCCTCTGTCATGCTGTAGCGGACCAACTCGTGTCTCTGCACCAGCTTATTGTTACCCGATCACTGCTTGTGTTTTAACGAAATGTGATTGAAGTTGAGCATTTTAAAACGCATTTGCATGTCTGGCTGTAGCTGAACGTGTAGAGGTGCTCGCTGTTATTTGTTAGCTCCCAGCATGTTCGGGTTCGAATGCCATCAGAGGCAACATGTAATTTTTTATTTTTATACCCGAGCGCACTTGTGCACAAGGGTATTATAACTTTGTTCACATAACGGTTGTTTGTAACAGGCAAAACGAATCGAGATAGATATAGACAAATGTATACATAAATGATCAGAATGAAAAGAGAAATCGATTAAGCGGTGACTGTCTGTCCGTCCGTCCGTCCGTCCGTCCGTCCGTCCGTCTGTGCACACGATAACTCGAGTAAAAATTGAGATATC